TACACGCGACCATGCTGTTCGTAAACGTGGATCGCGTTCGTAACTCGGGGTCCGCCATTTACGACAGCTTGCAAATGCAAATGGTTGTAAGTCGACCGTTCGCAACACGGGGACCGGCTGTATAATTACAGTAGACTTCTGATAATCTGGAACTTTTGGGATTTAGGTGGTGCTGGATTATTGGATATGCTGGACTATTAGGAGGTACTATAAATTGGTTTTATATATATATATATATATATATATATATATATATATATATATATATAAACACAGAATATACTGTATATAAAGTGTTTTTAACTTTTTTTTATTGTAGGATAAGCACTGTCCAGAGTCACACAATGCCAGTGGCAGACTGACTCAGTCCCATCCAGTTTCGCTTGGTTCAGCTGCTGCCGCTGCTGCCTTGTGACTCATTTTTTGCCGAAGCTCACGCACTAGGCTCTTGCCATTTTGATGCCGGACTATTGGGAGTGCCGTACAATTGGATGTCGAACTATTGGAGTTTTACTATACCCAGATTCTCCTTCTTTCCTTTTCTGAAGATAGTAATTATATATGCCTTTTTTCCAATTGTCTGGGACCTCCCCGATCACCACAAGTTTTTAAAGATAATGGCCAATGACTATGCAATTACACCAGCCAACTCCCTCGGCATCCATGGATGCGTTGGGTTTGCTCTTCTCAGATCCTGGAGGCCTATAGCAGATGACCGTGGCTGACTGTTCATTTGTGTCCCATACCCAAAGAAATCCCCTCCCCCATTATATTCATTTTGAACTGTGCTTTACTGTGTGTAGGCACTATACATGCCTTGAAATATACTACCAACCCTCCAAACATTTTTCCATTGCTTTATCTCCTGTATAAATTATATTCTTCATTATAGAAATTCAGTTGTGGGAATCATCCCACAATGGTTTAGTGATATCCACTAGATCACGTACTCCATCATTTGGTATTGCTTCTTGTCAGTTTCCCATTTTTCTTGTATTTGTGCAAAAGATATTTTAGTGCCATCATCCTATTCTAGACAAAACAATTCACTCTTCTGCTATGTGATAATTACTCTCCAAGTTATTTAATTTGTGCTAAAGTCCACCAATTTCTTCTTGTCTACTTAGTCTGCCTCATAAATCCTACTAGTTTTGAAGTTTGGGGTATGCTTCTCCTTAAATGGAACTTTCTAGTCCAGTGCAGAAGGCCTTCCTCTAAAAAAGAATTCCATAAAAGAAGCCTTACATTCAGGGAATTCCAAACACTGTTTTCACTAGTGGTTTATACCTTGTTTAGTCTCTTAATTCTCCCTTGACTGTATTTGGCACCAGAAAGCACTCTCTAAGAATCATTTTCATCCCAGATACTTTAAAAGATTCATCATCATATTAAATTTTCCTTTGGTGGAGTCTTTAATTAGCAGTGAAAATTTTCAAGCTTCATCTGGATATCTGATACTCTTATTGAAATATAATTTGTCATGGAAGATGGGAGATAACCATCGTCTGTCCTTTATCTGGATCACTAATATCTTGGTTCAGGTTCCTTACTAAGTCAACATATTTGTTCTCGAAGAACAGAAGTTATTGTTCTCAAACATCAATGAAGATTTATTACAAAAGCAGGTTTTATCCAGTAACTAGCAATTTACATCTGTGCAAATAGAATATAAAGCACTACAGGTGTGCCTATGGCCGTTATTCCGAAATAACTATGCAAGTGTCTCCACAGCAATTCTACTATTTTGAAATTATTTTGAAATAACAGATGGCTTATTCCAACTTCTGTAAACCTCATTCTATGAAGAATAACGCCTATTCTGAAACATCAGAGGGGTAGCTGTGTTAGTCTGGATCTGCAAAAGCGACAAGGAGTCCCGTAGCACCTTATAGATTAACAGATGTATTGGAGCATAAGCTTTCGTGGGCAAAGACCCACTTCGTCAGATGCATCTGACAACGTGGGTCTTTGCCCACGAAAGCTTATGCTTCAATACATCTGTTAGTCTATAAGGTGCTACAGGACTCCTTGTCGCCTATTCTGAAATACATATTTTGGAATAGAGGCTGTGTAGAGAGGGAATAGCTGCAATTTTGAAATAGGGGGCCTTCAGCCCTTCCCAGGGTGCCCTGGTGGCTGCTCTATCCATACTCAGCCAAACTCTATTCCCCCCTTCCTCTGGAGCCCTTAAAGCTGCAGCCTCTGCAGAAAGGGTTTGTGGCTCGCAATAGGCCTGACAGCCCTGAGCCACCCTGCAGCTGCACCTGACTCACTTTGCCCCTAAAATAAGCCATTCTGCTGCTCCCACCCAGCGCTTCACTGCTCCCAGGGAGCAGTCAGACAGGTCCCAGGAGCCTGCCAAGGGCTGGAACAGATGTGCGCCTTCCTGGTCTGGTGTGGAGATCTTATTGAGGTATGGGGTGACGAGACCAACCTCCAGGATATCCGCACCAGATACAGGAATGTGGACGTCTATGGCAGAATGGCCAACAGGCTGGCCAACAAGGGGCACATCTGCACCCAAGAGCAGGCGTGGCTGAAAGTCAAAGAGCTCTGTCAGGCATATGCCAGAGCCAGGGAGGACAACTCCTGCTCCAGGGCAGAGCCCCACACCTGCCCTTCCTTATTACAAGGACATGGAACCCATCCTGAGGGGTGGGGCAGTCCCTTCCTCACGGCCCCCCCCCCATTGTAGACTCTGGGCTTGAGATGCCCATTGTCATCCTCATGGAGAAGGAGCAGGAGTTGGATGAGGTCAGCATCACCACCCACCTGCCCCAGGAGCCAGAAACCTTCCCTGTGGACGTGTCCCAGGCATCATCCGAGGGCGGGGAAGGAACATCATGTAAGTGCCATCACTTTCCCTTCAAACAGGGGGCTGCGTCTACATTGGCAAGATTTTGCGCAAATACTTTTAACGCAAGAGTTTTTGCGTTAAAGTATTTGCACAAGAGAGTGTCTACACTGCCATGTGCTTTTGCACAAGAGATGTGCTTTTGCGCAAAAGCATCCGTGCCAGTGTAGACGCTCTCTTGTGCAAGAAAGCTCCGATGGCCATTTTAGCCACCAGACTTTCTTGCGCAAGAAATTCATGTTGCCTGTCTACACTGGCCTCTTGTGCAAGAACAGTTGCGCAAGAGGGCTTATTCCTGAGCAGGAGCATCATAGTTCTTGCGCAAGAAGCACTGATTTCACACATTAGAACGTCAGTGTTCTTGCGCAAGAACTCCCCACCAGTGTAGACAGGCAGCATGTTTTTGAGCAAAAGCAAGCACTTTTCCGCAAAATCATGCCAATGTAGACACAGCCAGAGGGTACAGGGGTTGGCCAGGGGGCGGGGGGAAGGGCGGTTCAGGGGAGGAGCTGGATGCTCCTCCTTGCTTGGCCCTTGCTTCCTGTGGATCGTGCAGCAGCCTGTGTACGTGGGAGCATGTGTCATGCTGCTCCTGGGTGCACAGCCCCAACAGGCTGCCACAGAGAACCCTTGTTCTGTTGCCCACAGGGTGTCTGAAGAGGCCTGCTACCATACACCTGACCTCAGCGTGGAACACCCTCCCTCTGCAAGCCTCCTTTAGGAGGAGGCAGGGCACACGCACACGCACTCTTACACACGCACGCACTGTTATCTACCAGCCCTGTGTTCTTGGAGAACCAGGGAGTGACATTCATGGAAAACCATCCCCCCTTCTCCTCGGCCTCTACTAGAATCAGACAAAGGAAGGAAAAGGCCAGGGAAGACCCACCTAAACTAATTAAGGAAACACCCCAGCCTCATCTGCATTGAAGATAGAACTCATTAGCATACAGAATGGAGACCAGCTCTTCCAAAGCGGGAACCGCAGTGAACTATGGGATACTGAAAGCGGAGAAGCACTGCCTGATGGGAAATCTCTGCTCCAGATGCTAATGAACCCAGGCCTGCTCACACCCAAATTAGTCATTCTCAGACCAATCTAGTAACGATCCTATTGACATCCAAAATACTGAAACTGCCTAGTTGCATTGTGAGCTCCTTCAAGGAACATTACCAATAACCAGGGGTGATCAGTCTCTATTGTCTCGCCTCTTTCTCTTTCAACTATTGTCTTATCCCTATAAAAACGTCTACCTTTGGCCAAGAAAAACTGTTCTGATACCTGGATTTAAACTGCATCAGTTCCATTGAGACTTCATCAACTCCTGTCTGATCGTGGGCTGGGGGCTCTGCTCTTCTCATCTCCTGCCCTCTGGACCCCCAGCTCCCATCACCATCTGGGAATCCCAATCGCCCCCTCGCGCCCCCCCCCCCCGGATGGCAGCCTGCGGCAAGTGCAGCCGGGCTGATGGCCGAGTGCTGTGATATGCCTAGTGTGGGCATTCAGGGCACTCCAAGCCAGGACTGCTTTGCTGCCCCTCATCGAGTTAGATAAGCGAGCGGGGAACCCCTGAGAACTGTCTGCTCGGGGTGGGGGTCGGGTCCCTTTAAGCACAGCCCTCGGCTAGCCTGAGACAGCAGCTCCACGCTCTAAGTCCTAATCTGATGCCCTGCCGGCACTGCTTCCGGCCAGCCTTAACTTCGGTTCCAGGTCCACTCAATGTGGACATGCTAGTTCGAATTAGCAAAATGCTAATTCGAACTAGTGTTTAGGTCTAGATGCACTAGTTCGAATTAGCTTAGTTTGAATTAACTAATGCGAATTAAGTTAGTTCGAATTAGTGCTGTAGTGTAGACATACCCTATGAGAGCACAAGTAGAGCAAGCAGCACACTGATAGAATTCTTAACCTCCCCCAGCCTCATAAGAGTAACCCTGATAAATGAGCCTAATCCAGAGAATTGGGCAAATCTGGTAACAGCATGGCCACAGTCCTGGGCCCACTAACCAGAGCTCACATGGCCTTGCTCCAAGCACATCACCTGCAACAGACCCGAGAACTGTTTCTCTCTGCTCACAGATGGGGGCTAGGATTCAGGCACAGTGTCCCCTGGGATGACTGACCATCTCTCTTTATTCTCCACAGCCGGAACAGCTGCAAGATGGGGGAGGTCGACACCACCTGGGACAGGCTCCTGGACCCGAGGCATCTGCAGGTGCCACTGACTCATGGATGAGTTCCAGAGGCAACACCTGGCGGAAAGACTTCAGGGGCTGATCTCATTTGCGTAGACACACCCATCCTGCCTAGTATGTACTCACAGCAGCCCAAATGGTCACTTTGGTCACTCTGGGGTCCCCAGTCTCTCTGTTATCGAGGCAGGGGGGGATAAAGTGTTGTTACCCTGATTATGTGAATCAAGGACAATGGAATAATGGAACTGTTTATGACAGAGGGATTCGCCATAAACTAAGTAGCACTTGCTAGACAAGGGGCATAAGTTCCAAACCTAGTCAAGTTGACACAGATTGGGGACAAGTCTTTGTACCTGTTGGTGGGGCCTTGTCTCAGGGCCTAAACAACACTGATTGCACTTTCTTCTCTCTCCACCATGGAATACTAGAGCTAATTTGGATTTGATTAGGAGTCTAGTTGCAAGCTGCTGAGCTGAGTTCACTGTGGGCCAATGTAGCACTAGCACTGAGGCTCCTCTATTATGAGCTGAACTTGCTGAAGAGCTGAAATCATTATGTGCTGAAGGGAGCCTGGTGCTATACTGTGGAAGAGCTGAAATCATTGTTGCTGTGATCTGCACGTGGAATGATTGCATATCGGGGAATACATTGAGGGATCTCCAGACCTGAAAGCCCCATTTGCTCCAGCTTGAGCTAAGAGCCCAGTCTCTGTAGTTGGGCATTGGAAAAAACCCCATCCTCTACAGATAGCACAGATGGTGCTTTGGAAATCACACCTGACAGAAATTTACCCTATCAAATATTTGGCTGAACTAATGGGAAGCATCAGAGGGGTAGCTGAGTCTGGCGGAGCAGGGCAGTTCGTGGGACGGTAGGTGGAGTGTGGTGGAGTGACTCAAGTTAATGGTGGCAGCAGAACCCTATGGAGAGGTGGAGCCATCGGCGGATCATGTAAGGTATATCAACCCCCGCCCCCTCCATTCCACCCAGATTGGAATGGTAAAACCCGGCCGGTTGAACTTTTGAGCCCTCGGGCAGCACTGACCCGGGGCAGAGACTCTTGGGGTATTGGACTTTGGGACTTTAGGTGATTTTTTTGGGTTGCTGGACTCAAGAGACTCTTGGAGTGTTGGACTTTTGGGGACCCCCGCCACCACTATTCCACCCAGGTTGGGATGGTAAAACCCTGCCGGGTGAACTTTTGAACTTTGGGGCGGCACTGACCAGGGTTTGGGGCAGCACTGACCAGGGGCAGAGACTCTTGGGCTGTTGGACTTTTGGGGACTTTGGGTGAGTCTTGGCTGGGGATGGGTCTTTGCTCATGCTTGGTCTATGAATCCGAGTTGTGGTGTTTTCCCAATTTAATGCTGATGTCAGTTACCTCATGTTGTTAAAGATTTGCTGCTATACTGAGGTTCTGTGCTTGCGAGAGGGGAAGAATTGCCTCTTTGAAGCGCCCAGAGGTGTATGTACGATTTCCCAGGTCACTGGGTGGGGGCTTGTTGGTAGGAGACTCCTAGATACTGAACCCGGCCCTTGCTGCTGCTATTAACGGTCTGGCAGAAGGGTTACACATGGTTAGCTAGTCCTAACATTTGTAATCAGTTTCAATTTAGATTTAATATTGTAACAGTTATGTGTGTTTGGCTTTCTATCACTACCCAGAAATAATTGTTAAGCTGGGTTGCTTCTCTCTCTTTCTTTCTCTTTCATTCACTCTTCCTCAAGGGGTATTTTGGCTTCCCCATTCGCTCTGTAACAACTCTTCTTGTACCCAAGCTAAAGATCCCTGTATTGCCCAAAATCCTGTGGGGTTTGCTCATCGTGTGGTTTACCAGTGAATGATTGTGGTGTGAAAGTGGGGATAGGGGTGCTGAACCTGGGGGTGTATGAGGATGGCAGCTTAAAGTGCTGTTTAATCCAGCCCACTGAGTCCAAAGGCTCATGAGGGTGCAGTGTGCCACTGTTGTTAACCCAGCCTGCTGAATCCAGGGACATATGAGGGGTCGCTTGTGAGTGCTGAGTACCCAGTCCTTTCAGGCATGCTCTGTTAGTGGGTGTGAGCATCTGTGTGTGTTGCTAAGGTGGGAAGAACCTCATCCTGAGGAACCTAGTTCCTGCAGGAGAGCTCCAGTGGGAGGGGGAATTGACAGCAGGGAGAGAATTCAGCTCCATATGAGAGCACAAGTAGCACACTGATAAAATTGTTAACCTCCCACCAGTCCCATAAGAGTAACCCTAATAAATGAGCATACCTCAGAGTATTGGGCAAATCTGGTAACAGTGGTATGGGACAAAAAAGCAACCTTTAAAAACTAGAAGTCAAGCCCTACTGAGAAAACCAGAAAGGAACATAAACTCTGGCAAGTCCAGTGTGGAAGTACAGGTTGGACCTCCCTGGACCGGCGCCCACAGGACCTGACCAGTCTTGGATGAGGGATTTTGCCAGACCGGGGGAGATCATATCTGGCTCCCCTGCTACTGGCTCCCTTGACCGGCTGCCGGCCTCCTGGCCCTCTCCCCCTTGGCAACAGTCTCACTGCCCTGCCACTCCCCCCACCTCCTTTCCTGCTACACTAGGCAGCCCAACTGCAGCC